TGGCCGATCGCACGGTCTTCGCACCGGCGACGGATCCTTCGAATGTCTGCCCTATCAACTTTCGATGGTACGTTATGCGCCTACCATGGTCGTAACGGGTAACGGAGAATCAGGGTTCGATTCCGGAGAGGGAGCTTGAGAAACGGCTACCACATCCAAGGAAGGCAGCAGGCGCGCAAATTACCCACTCCCGACACGGGGAGGTAGTGACGAAAAATAGCAATACAGGACTCTTTCGAGGCCCTGTAATTGGAATGAGTACACTTTAAATCCTTTAACGAGGATCTATTGGAGGGCAAGTCTGGTGCCAGCAGCCGCGGTAATTCCAGCTCCAATAGCGTATATTAAAATTGCTGCAGTTAAAAAGCTCGTAGTTGGATCTTGGGCGCAGGCTGGCGGTCCGCCGCAAGGCGCGCCACTGCCCGCCTGGCCTTCCTCTCGGTCTCCGCCCGGTTCTCTTGACTGAGTGCCGAGCGCGGCCGAAACGTTTACTTTGAAAAAATTGGAGTGTTCAAAGCAGGCCGACCGCCTGGACAGCAGAGCATGGAATAATGGAATAGGACCTCGGTTCTATTGCGTTGGTTTTCGGAACTCGAGGTAATGATTAAGAGGGACTGACGGGGGCATTAAAACAAACAGCAATGAAATAAAGTTCACACAAATTCATACCTGTTTTTAAAGAAGAATTCAAAATTTGTGATAAACTACCGGTATATCTAAATGAATTAAGCTACATGTGCCAGTACATTAGTTTCAACAAAATGTACATCTAAGTGAGGTTTGGAACCCCTAACAGTCTGCCAGCATCCCATGTAACAGATTGCATTGAATATGATACATGTACATGTACATGTAGGTTCAGAGAACATGATACAGTGTAAATAAGGTCTATTAGATACGTGTAGTTTCGAGACTGTTTTACGGGTGAAATCTGACTATTTTTATTAGGGATATGAGCTGTTTTTAGTAAAACATACCTGTATCTTGATATTCCTGCAGTGTATGGCACACCCTACAGTATCCCAATCATATCACCATGTGGTCATGTGATTGAAACAAGATATCCCCAAACTGAAGCCCAGAAGCCTACTGCCCATTTTTCACCTCATGCCATTTACTTGGCCATCAAANTGGCGGGGCGGCGAGCCGCCACTTTCGTCGAGCCGCTCCGGAGCGGGCCTGTCCAAGCCCAAGGGGGAATCGCTCCGGAGGCTTGGGCTCGACCGTGTAGGAATAGTCGTTTTGTATGGACAATATATGGCTGTACTGATATCTGGCACCTGGAGCTGAGCTTGACACCACCCTCCCCCTATAAATAGGCAAACCAGGGAGTGGGGGTAAAGGTCCAAAATGCT